CTTGTCATCATGGCCTTCTTAGGGTTACTCATTTTGATTTCTCTTGCTGTCCTTTCAATATGGTTCTTATTCTGTCGACGAAAAAGAAACAAACTTCGTGTTCGTGTCGAAAGATCTTTTGTCGATCCCAGGTTTGAAAAAGTGGCCCAGGTTTTTCGGTAAGTAATAGCACCCAATTTTGAATAATCAATTCTGTCTAGTCTATATATAAAATTCTGTGACTTCCGTGATTCCGTCACATAAGTCTCTAGAATATCCATACAGTATACTGGCCGATCGAAATCAAATGCAGATTGTTTTAGTGTTCGTAAAAACTAAACACCATGAATTAGTGTCCCTTATGAAAGCATTTTCCTAAGTAAATCAGTTTATTCAAATCTCATCGATTGATTTGTGAAATTGAGCGAAACATAAAGTTTATAAATCTTGACAAAAAAAGTTTGCCAAAAATTTAAAAATAAATATTTAGGATTTCAACATACGTCAGCTTCTTGCAAAAAATTCTAGCTTAGTAAAATATTTCAGCAAAATTTTATAGAAATTTTCATAATAATCCTAAAATGAATTTTTTTAAAATAATTACGTTTTTTTTTTTTTTTTTTTTTTTTTTTTTTAAATTTATAATTTAGCCTATGGTAATGAAAATTTTCCATTTAAAAACAGGACTCTTAGGAGAATTTTTAAGCGAATCATTTTTTTTTTTTCAGTTTATTTCAGAGTATTTTGTTTACTGGAAATAATTAAATTTAGTCATTTAGCTTTCAATTAAAGTAAAAAAAAAAAAAAAGAAATCTTCAAGAATAGTTTTTCATTTTTTAAAAATTCATTTGAAACTTTATCAAAAATTTAGTGGAGGTCCCTTTTTTTAACTAATAAAAACAATTTTGTTTGAGATTGAAATTTAATTTCATGAAATTTAGTAAGTGTGTGTTTGTGTGCGAGGGGTAACATGTGTAAAAAAAAATATTTTTACCAAGATTTTTAAAAAAAAGTTTGAAGTTTCATTAAAATCCGACAATTACTTGATTTTTGCAAGAATTTCTAAATCAATGCGTTTTTAACCTGAAAAAAAAAAAGGCGCTAATCGTAAAAATATTACGCCGAACACTGACGCAAAAATTTTAAAAACAAAAGACTTTTAGCCAAAATTTTGAACATGCTAGATAATTATTAAAAATTTAATAAAAATACTTTGGTCTTTCCTCTTAATAATAAACATTTTGACCCGGATATAAGAGACCCGGATATAAGAGAAACCCGGATATAAGAGAGATTTTCTCTGGTCCCAAATTAGAGCCTGTGCTGTTAATGTATATAAATTAGACCAAACCTGGATATAAGAGAAACCCGGATATAAGAGAGATTGTCTCTGGTCCCAAATTAGAGCCTGTGTTAATGTATATAAAACAGACCAAACCCGGATATAAGAGAAACCCGGATATAAGAGACTTCTTCTCCGGTCCCGACAACTCTCTTATATCCGGGTTACACTGTAGTGTACATTAACACAGGCTCTAATTTGGGACCAGAGAAAATCTCTCTTATATCCGGGTTACACTGTATATAAAATAGACCAAACCCGGATATAAGAGAAACCCGGATATAAGAGACTTCTTCTCCTGTCCCGCCAACTCTCTTATATCCGGGTTACACTAATGATTTAAATGCTTTCGAATTGATTTTTCAGTGTTTTCATAAAAGCAGTTATGGAGTAGGGTAATATATATAAAAAATACATTTTTACTATGATTTAAAAAAAACATATTTATAATAATTCCCATCATTTGTGAATAGTTTCTGAAAGTTTCATTAAAATCCGACAATTATTTTTTATTTTGGCAAGATTTTCCAAATTAATGTCCGTGATTAAAAAAATGCTATAAAATGTGCTATTGTTATTTAGTAGTTCCGCTGACACAAGGAGAAACAAGATTTTTTTTAATCAAGGGTTAGAATGTCGTAAAAAGAAGGACATTTTTTTTTTAAATGATTAAAAAATGCTTTGTTCTTTCCGCTTAATAATAACATAAACATTTAGACGATAAAATATTGCTTTAGTCAAGTTTAAGTTCGTTTTTATCATGCTATACTCATTTTCCAGCAATCTCATGGTGGTGCCTCAAAAATTACTTCGGATATAAGAGAAACCCGGATATAAGAGACCCGGATATAAGAGAAACCCGGATATAAGAGAGATTGTCTCTGGTCCCAAATTAGAGCCTGTGTTAATGTATACATATAGACCAAACCCGGATATAAGAGAAACCCGGATATAAGAGACTTCTCCGGTTTTGACAACTCTCTTATATCCCCAAATTAGGGTTACACTGACCAAACCCGGATATAAGAGAAACCCGGATATAAGAGACCCGGATATAAGAGAGATTTTATCTGGTCCCAAATTAGAGCCTGTGTTAATGTATACATATAGACCAAACCCGGATATAAGAGAAACCTTATATCCGGATATAAGAGACTTCTTCTCCGGTTTGACAAACTC